AATGTCCAAGGTCTGCGGGCAAAAATTTTGGCTGATGCCACGGACGATTAATATGAGTGAAAAGCGACCATCGGTTATCATTGAGGCCCCCACCATCATTATGGCCGGCGCTTGAGTCCTGGTGGCCAACCGAAGGTGCACATTTTCAACTGACCTCTTTGGCAGGTATACACGATCATTTTGCTTGTTTACAAACTGCTGGACAACGAATGTTTTCTCATCGGAGCGGGGAAAACCAAATTCGGAGTTCACCACTTTGGGCCAAGCGAAGCAACTTTTAGCTCTTTTTAGTCTATTTTCTTTCTGTTGCGGTGTAGGTTCATGCACTTTTTGGAATTTCAGGGGCTATATCACGAGCTCATTTTTCAATATTTGCCGAATGGAATATTGCGATATGTTCAGGTCACGAGCCATTTTTCGGCCACTGCGACGTGGGTTTCCATCAAGTCGCTTTTTTTACTTTTCGAACCATTTCTGCTGATGTTGCTGTTTTCTTCCGTCCACTTCCTTGACGTTGGGCTATGCTACCAGTATCACGTAATCGGTAACGAGCGATGTTACAAGACACAAAAGATTTATTCACATTTAAATGCTGGAGTGCTCCAACGATAGCCACTCGTGTTTTTCCAGCCAAATATTAGGAAATCACACTATCACGCTTAAATTCCATTACGAATAACTTTTTTTTCTGGAAAATTCGCACCAAATTCGCCCAAATGGACTGAATTTTCGTAATTACGACTGAATTCATCCTATAAACCAGTACATCGAATTTGGTATAAAACGATTCAGATATAGCTATAGCTGCCATAGATATGTTTTATCCAATTTGTGAGTTAAAGTCCCTCACAAACGTAATATGCATTCCACAACAATGATATTCGTTACCAGATATCAGATACAACACTGAAATAAGTGTATCAAATTTTGTCCAAATCGGTTCAGATTTGGATATAGCTCCCATAGATATCCTCAATAGATTTCGGTTTAAATGTTCAGTAAATAGCCAATATCAGTCCAAATGACCTGAATTTTGTCATATCCGACCGGATTTAGTCTAGAAGCAAGTATATCGAATTCGGTGAAAATCAGTATAGATATAGCTATAGCTCCCATACATATGTTTCATCCGATTTGGTCCCGCAAATTCAAAATATGCATTCGACAACAATGATATTTGGAAATACCTCTGCCAAATTTAAGCAAGATCGGTTCAGGTTTGGGTATAGGTCCCATATATATCTTCAACCGATTTCGGGATAATTGTGCATCAAATGGCCAATATCTGTCAAAAGTACTGAATTTAGGTATATACGACCGAATTCAAACTAGAAGCAATTACAGGAAATTTGAAGAAAATCATAGATATATATGTTTCATCCGATTTGGTGTTTAAGTCCCCCATATTCATATACATTCGACAACAATTATATTTGGTACCAGATATCTTATAGTGCTCGGAAATACCTTTGCTAAATTTTATCGAGAACGGCTAAGATTTGGATATTGCTCCCATAATCCTTAATCTGATTTCACGTTTATTGTGTAAATAATGGCTAATATTAGCCCAAATAGAGCGAATTTTGGGACGTACATTTCCATTTTCTTCAACTCGGCTCCGATATAGATTTTTTTAATATAAGCCTTCTCCAGTGATATCATACAAGCAAGATATAACTGCCAATATTAATATGTGGTATGATCTACTTGAGATAAATTCTATTGTTACGGAAGCTCTACTAAATATGTATATTGGTGTAGGGTATCATATAGTCGGCCCTGCCCGACTTTTGACTGTTCCTTTCTGGGTTTTCTCTTTGTTGATATCATAAACGGAAAATTAGTTAGTAGAAACTTATACAAACCTGCAGTTCTTGAAGAGACAAAAGGTCTGGTTTGATTTATTAAAACATAAATAAACAATTTTCGAATCATAAAAAAATCAAATGCACAGTTTTTTGTTCAAATATTATTGTCTCATCTTCAACTTTAACACATTTTATTAATTTATATTTATTTTTTATTTCCGTCACATAAAAAGACTTTATATTGCTTTTATTTTTGGAGTTTTAATTTATTGTGTGAATTCAAGCAGCAACTGAGAAAAATGCTTTTCCTTTGTTCGGCGTTTTACATATTACCATTGTTATTATGACATGTCTGATGCAGCCACTGTTAATTCGATGTGTGAAAAATGCAATGTCAAATTGCACAATAGGGAATAGAAGGTAGCTGTTTGTGCGACTGAATGAAAGAATGGTTGGTTGTATGCATTTGCTGTTATTTTAGGTCCATCAAAATTAAATGCGACAAATTTAATAAAAATCATTTGTGAAATCTAAACAGATAATTAAAGCATACCTTAAGGAGGAAAATGCTCATAAATAGACAATAGTATGCTTTGCCAGATTGGAAGTTTTTTTTATATTTTGGAGATTTTGATGAACAACATTGTCCATAACCCATAGGTGCTCTGAAATATTCGAGAAGCTATATCCCGGGCTGCGGAGCTGAAAACTACGTTTTTACAAACTCCACCATAGCATGGAGGGTATATTAAGTTTGTCATTCCGTTTGTAACACCTCGAAATTTACATTTTATACAAAGTATATGTATTCTTGATCAGCATAAAATTCTATGTAGATCTATCAATGTCCGTCCGTCTTTGGAAATCACTCTAGCTCCCAAAGGAAATGAAGTAGTTTGATTAAATTTTACTCAAATGTATATTATGTCTGCAGGACTTTTGGTATTGAAAATGGGCCATGTAAGTTCACGTTATGGTATAGCCCCTCCCTCCCTATTTTCGGTATTTTGGTGATTTAAGCGACATTACTCACCGGAAATGTTTCAAATTTGGTATTTGAATTACAGCCTAAGACAGAAAATTATCAGTGCAGGTCCACGATATTGTATAGCCCATATACAACGGTACCACCCGATATTCGATTATAGGGACATTTTCGAAGGTGTTTCAAATTTCGTATTTAGAATTCGTATTGGGTTCTACAGCCAATGACAAAAAATTTTTTATGCAGAACTACGTATTCGTATAGCCTCCGTATAATGGTATCTCCCAAGATTCGAACCGAACCGAAATTGTTTCAAATTTGGTATTTGAAGTTCGTAACGGATACTACAGCCTATGACGGAAAATTGTCAGTGCAGGTCCACATTTTGGTATAGCCCCCATATAATGGTATCTCCCTATATTCACTATTTTGATGATTTTAGCTACATTCTTTTTCCAGTTTCGCATTTGAATATTGTAATGGCTTATAACAAAAGTTGCCTATGCAGGTCCACATCGTCGTATAGGCCCTAATATAACGATTATATTCGGTATTTTTAAGATTTTAACAGAATTTTTAACGAATTTTATTTTTTTGAGAATTGCCAAATTCGTTCCGAATGGTGGAGGGTATTCAAAGCTCGGCCCAACCAAACTTACAGTTTTTATACCCTCAATCATATGGCTACAGAGGGTGTATATCATTTGATAATGTCAAAACGTGCCTAGTCGAAATAACGGTTTTAGACCCTAGGTCTCTTTGGACCAAATCCGTCTGTCTGGCTGGTGCGCATGATAACTTTCGAAGGGAGTATCCGATTTGGTCCAAACTTGGTATATCGTAATATTTTTGTCAAACTTAGATCGAACAATATCGGTCTACTCCTTCGGGTACCTCCCCCACAAAGGGCCTAAATTTTGAATAATCACAACTTTTATAAAATGTGATGTAAGAGTCCGATTGTCTTCCAATTTCAACGTCTACTATAAAGCTGGAATATGTCGGCCCACTCCACAATAGATCGAAATTTGCAAAATATATATTTTTTTTTGCACATAAAGAGAAATATAATCCGATTTTGCTCCAACTTTGCAAATCCTAATATTTGCGTCAGTGCTAGGTTAGGTGTGAAAATGGACAACACCGGTCCACTCATTAAGTACCTCCCCCACAAATGGTCAAAATTTTGAATAATTACAACTCTTATAAAGTGTGATGTAAGAGTCCGATTGTCTTCAAATTTCATACATCCAACTATTTTTATAAACCCAAGATCTGGTAGTAAGACGGAATATATCAGTGCACTCCTTCTAGTACCTCCCCCACAAACGCTCAAAATTTTGAATATCCATGAAGTTCATAAAAAGTGAAATCAATATCTGATTCCATGCCAGACATGGTTCATCTCAATATTTCCATTAATACAAGATCTTTTATAAAGATGGTAGAAATCGGACCATTTCGTTTGCAACCATCTCCAAATAGGTTTAAAGATTTCGAAAAAAACATAACGCTCAAAGAAAACGAAATAAGTATCCAACTCTCTTCAATTTTCACACATACAGACACAAGACCTGTTGTAAAGATGCTATGTATCTGCGAACCCTTTTTGATACCTCACCCACAATACTTTTACCTGTCATAAATTGCGAATCAACTCAGCGATCCTTTACAACTTGCTATATCTAAATATATGTCTTTCAACAAGAATCCTGAGATAAATATCAAATTTATGACTTCCCATAAATTGGATATAAATGTTCGATATTCTTATATATTTATAATATTATTATATTATATTATTCTTATATATTTATCATATTTATTTAGGTCCGATACGAAATGGACAATATTGACCCATTCTTTCAAAACCCACTCCATAGAGGGTCAAGAGTTTGAAAATTCATAACAGAAGTCAACATATTTTAAAATAATCGAACATTGGCTGAGGGTATACATCTGTCGGCAAAACCTACCGATAATTTTTCACTTGTTTTAGGTTACTTTGCGATGTAAATTTTCAAAACGTCGATACAAGTGTTTTAAATTTCTAGCTACATTTTTAAAATCTACAGATTATTTCCTGTAATTATGAAACTATAAAATTTGGCGCTATAATCTTATCTTTGTTAATGATGATGAACCAATAAAAAAATCGAAAAATAATATTTTTTTTTAATTTTTCTTTATTTTATTTCAGTACGTATACGAACATGTATTGTTGTTGTGTTGTGTCTGATTTGAACAAAACAAAATATATCAATTTAAAAATTTATAAATAAATTCAAATTGTATAATAAACCTAATGCAATAACGGAAGAACAAACGTGTGATGTTAGACACATACATATTATTTTGCGATAATATACATACTTTCACATGTATTTACAATACAGATACAGATAATTTTCAATATTCACAATTTAATTTTTTATTTCATATTATTTACAAACTAATAGACATAGGGATAAATACAAGTGGAATGTGCACAGAAAACTTAAACGTAACATAAACAAATAATAATAATAACTATTATATTAAGATAAGAATAATTAAATTATATTTTTACAAAATGAAAGTGCACAGAATGGAAATACATTTTTGGGGGGTTGTGGGATAATTAAAGCCAATTGCAAACGGAGGAGAAATCTGAGAATTTCCTGTCAAATCTTACGTGATATATTTCTATGGTCAAAAAAAAATCAAATTAAGACATTTGCCGAGAGTCGAGGCAAACGAAAGTCAATCTCTTACAATTTTGTGAATGTTTATTTTTATATTTCGATAATAATGTTTCACTAGGAATTTGAGAGAATAAAAATCAAAGCGAGCTGATTTGTCTCAAATTTTGTATTCACATTTTTTCGAAATAAAAAATCCTATTCAAAATTTGAAGGTATATTTCTGTATGACGATACGAAAGTGAATACAAAAAAAAAGTATGAAAGCAGCTAAGTTCGGCCGGGTCGAACTTTTAATACCCTCCATCATTTGGAAGGAACTTGAAATATTTCAAAAAAAAAAAAAACTTCCGGAAACTACCAAATAAAAATTGTTATATGGAGACTATACGAAGACGTGGACCTCCTTACGAATTTTTTTGTCATAGGCTGTAGTACCCATTACGAACTTTAAATATGAAATTTGTTACAATTTCGGTGCATAATGTCGCTAATTTCGTCAAGATACCGAATATTTGAGGTACTCTCGTATGGGGGCTATACGAAGACGTGGGCCTGCATACAACAATTTTTGTCATAGGCTGTAGTACCCATTGCGAACTTTAAATATGAAATTTGAATTAATTCCGGTAAATACTGTTCCTAAAATCATTAAAATACTAAATATTGGGGGGTACCGTTATATGGGGGCTATACGAAGACATGGCATACACAATTTTTTGTCATAGGCTGTAGTACCCATTGCGAACTTCAAAAATCATAAAAATACCGTGTATTGGGAGGTACCGTCATTTGGGGGCTATACGAAGACATGGGCCTGCATACAAAAATTTTTGTCATAGGCGGTAGCACCCATTACGAACTTCAAATACAAAATTTGAAATAAGACGGGTAAATATTGCCGCTTAAATTAGGAAAGTACCGAATATCGGGAGGTAGCGTTATATAGGGACCATACAAAATCGTGGATCTGCATACACAAATTTTCGTCATAGGCGGCAGCACCCATAACGAACTTTGAATATAAAATTTGAAATAATTCCGGTAAATACTGTCGCTAAAATCATGAAAATACCGAATATCGGGAGGTACCGTTATATGGGGGCTATACAAAAACGTGGACCGACTCGTCCCATTTACGAACTTAAGCTGCATGCTGGTAAACTATGCATGTATGCATAATTTTAGTCTTCTATTTCAATTCGTTCGGAATATAACGTGATTACAACAGACGGACGGACATCGCTAGATCTTCTTAGAATTTTACGCTGATCCAGAATATATATTCTTTGTGGGGTCTATTGTAAATATTTCCACCATAGAATAGTGGAGGGTATAAAAATCCATAAACTTCGAATTCCAAATGTTTTATTTATTTAAAAAAATTAATTTTTAAAAACTCTTTTGGAATCTTCTTTCCTTATTTGCAAATCAATATTGTGACGTCACACAGAAATAGTTTCAAGTTCAAGAGATTCCCTTTCATTCGCCTGTATTTTCGATCGATATTTTAGAAAAAAAAATCCTATCAAACCAATTAGAGTACGGGTTTCGAATACAGACTAGAAATCTAAGAAAGAAAAAACGAAGTGGGGACGGGTACAGATTCGATAAAAACAATTGAAAACTAAACTACTTAATAACTTATAAATTAAAAGAATTAACATAATAATATACTAATATTTACAAAACAAAAAAAAATCAAACGAATATGATGTGTTCATTAAAATTCGAAATATTTTCAAAATATTCCCGAAGATGTATTCCATTGTCGCTTCGACAATGAAAGCACCAATCTTAGCACTTGCAAAATACGATATTTTTTTGGATATTTAGAAGATAAGGAGACAATTATAATAATACTGCTACGAGCACTTGGTGATGAGAGAGACAAAAAAAGCTAGGATGGTGAAAATGGATGGGTTAGAGGAGTAATGGGAAGGTCTCGGAGGATAAAGGTATAAGGCCGTTCTATGCCTACTGTCATATTTCACATTCAAACTCCGATATGCGATGATTGAAATAGACCATGCCCTGTTCCAGATCCTCACTGAAACCGCTGACGTCCATATAATCCGAGGCAGCTGAATCATCATCGACCCATTTGTGCAGAGAACGATTGATTTCCAAACGGCATTGGGTGAAACTAGGACGCATTTGAGGATCCTTGTGCCAGCAACGAGACATTAGGTTATAGAACTCATGGCGTCCCTCCTTGGGTAAGTCGGGCCTTAAACCCTGTGGCACGCGGCGTATAACTTCACGTCCCGTCAAATGTGAATATGGGGTAGAACCTGCAAAAAAAACAATATTAATTATGAATTCCTTTTTAAATTAATCTTCAATTCTCCACCTAATGTTGCAATTTCCCACAGCACAATACCGAATGCCCAAATATCCGTTTCGGTGCTAAAGCAATTGTATTGCAGCGATTCGGGCGCCATCCAACGTATTGGCAAAGCCGGCCGTTTACCAATTGTATCTTGACCCTTCTTTTCACTGCAACCACCATCTTTATGTGGACTACCGCCATTACCTCCCGCTGCCGTCCAATGATTCATAATGAATTTACCGCCAAAATCGAATTTGAATTTGTTGAAATTACTGCGCATTATCTCATTGGCACAATTCTTTTCCAGTTCTTTGCGTTTACGCTCCGCATCCAGATCTATGGACATGCCGAAATCACAGATTTTGCAAACGCCGTTATGATCGAGCAGAACATTACGGGCTGCCAGGTCTCGATGAACAATCTGGGGGAAGAGAAAAATAATAAAATTAGAAACAAATTCAATGTATGGCAAATTTTCAGGACATATATAGGGTGAGATGAAAAAACTGCAACCAACTCAGACTAAGCTACTCGTCCGACAGCTTAAATTATTCCAGTGACAGCTCATTATATTGTTTAAAACATCAGCAGAAATGGTTCGAAAAGTAAAGAAGCGACTTGATCGAAACCCGCGTCGCAGTGGCTAAAAAATGGCTCGAGAGCTGAACATATCGCAATATTCCATTCGGCAAATATTGAAAAATAAGCCCGGGGTAAAGCCATAAAAATGTCAAAAAAAAGTGCAAGAACTGACACAGCAAGAGAAAGAAAATAGACTCAAAAGAGCCAAAGAGTTGCTTTGCTTGACCGAAATTGGTGAACTGCCGAATGTGATTTTTTCCCAAAGGAGAAAACATTCGTTGTCCAGCAGCCAAAGAGGTCAGCTGAAAATGTGCACCTTCGGGTGGCCACCAGAACTCAAGCGCCGGCCATGGTGATGGTGTGAGCCACAACGCCATAACCGCCGATGGTCGCTTTCCGCTCGTATTAATCAACCGTGGCATCAAAATAAATGACCAATATTTTCGCGAAAATATTCTGGAGGTTGTATTAAACCCATGGCCACGCAAAAAATTTGGCTGCATACCTTGACATTCCAACATGACTCAGCACCATCGCACTCAGCACGCGCCACCCAAAAATGGTTACAAAATGGGGTTTCTCGCTTCATTTCCAGCGCAAAATGGCCACCAAAATCTCCGGAGACCAATCCGTTGGACTATTGGGTCTGGAGTATTTTGGAAAACAAGGTTGGCACCAAAAAATACCAAAGTGTCGATCACCTCAAGCAAGCGCTTCGCCGAGAATGGGCCAAAATAACGCAGAACAACAATCTGGTAGCGCGTGACAGTTTCATTGGCCATTTGAAGGCCATAATTTGTGCGAATTCGAAGAAATCTAAACTTATTCTAAAATTTGATGCTATTTTTTTTCTCACCCTGTATATAAAAAAATTATCTTCCAGAGGGTAAAGTTTTCAGAAAGAACTCCAAATTTGAAGTACTTGTTTCTGGGCTGAATCACGTCGGATGTGCTGAAACACATCCTATTTGGCGCAAAAAAAAATTTAAATCGGACGAAGTTATATATGAAAGCTATATCCAAATCTGATCCGATCCTTCATTCATTCGATATATCTTCTCTCCATTTTAACCCAACTTTTCTCCAAAAAACTTACTCTCTTTTCGGCAATATACTCCATGCCACGTGCAATGTCCAAACAAAATCCGGCTAAGGTACGCGGCGACAAGGGGGCCAAACTGCGGCCACCTGGCACAGAGGCTGGTAGGATATTTGTGGCATTGCGGGCTGCCCTCAACAGGGATAAGAGGCGGCCACGCATGGCATACTCCATGATTAGCATGTGGGGTTCTGAAACAGAAAACAGAATCAGCAAAAATTAAATACCATTTAAAAATTCCATTTTCAGAGACATAGAAGAGGAGACAAAACTTAACCTGTTTCCACACAAGCTCCCAGCAGGGTTACAACATTCTGGTGAGAACCCAGTTTACGCATAATATTTCCCTCTTCCTTGAGACTCAGCTGGGTGCTGCATGCCTTGATGGTTTTAACGGCCACAATGCGCGTGGCACCAAAATGGCCACTCAAATCATCGGCCTCAGCTTTCCACACTTGGCCGAAGTTACCCTCTCCCAAAAGACTTTTCAAGCGAATATTGGAGCGATCGAATTCCTGATCGCTGGTCACAGAGCTTTTGTCATCGTAACGCTGCTGGGCATGATTGTGATTTGCATCACGGGCCAATGGGGGTGCCACCAGTTTGCTGTGTAAACTATGCTGTCGCTGGGGTGGTTTCTTGTGATGGTCCACCACATCTTCGTCTTCTTCCTGATATTTACCATCAAGCTTTTTAACCGGACTTATGGGTTGCTGATCGGTAATGCAGACATCAAAATCCTCATCGTCTTTGATGGGTCTCTTCAGCAGGTAGTTACGCAGTAGGTAAAGTATTATGGCCAGCAAGGGGACAATACCAATGCCAGCCAAGACCATGGTCACAATGTTCATGCGGTGCATTTCCAGGGAGATTTCCTGATCATCCGTCACCACACTTGAGGAAATTTCCCCAGTGACCTGAGGTTGTCTCGTTGTTGTACTTGTGGCAGGTTGATTGACAATGGGCGGGTTTTCTTTGGTTGGGGGATTTTCGGTGGATCGTCCAGATATCGGTACACCGGCGCTTGATCTGATCACTCCACTATCGGTGGTAAATCCTTGGGGGAAGGGTCGCATTGTTGTACTGCTAGGGCTCAGTGAGCCTCGGTACACACCCGATGTGCGATTGACAAAAATTATGATGTTCGTATCGTCATCGTGTTGTTCGACTAAACTGGGACCGAGAGCTCTCAGCAGTTCGTTATTTTCTTCAATGATATCGGATTTTCGGGTGGTTGTGGGGGTTTCTGTTGTGGTCGTAGTTGTTGTTGTTGTAGAGGTGCTTGTGGTAGTTTTGGTATTGGTAGTGGTTGGCAAAAGTGTGGTTGTTGTTGTAGTACTCGTTGTGGAAGTTGTTGTGGTTGGCATAATGGTGGTGGTGGTTGTTGTAGTTGTGGTGGGAATGGGACTTATTGTTGTTGGTGTAACTTTTGCCGAGGTTTTGGGAATAAATTCGGAATATCTCCTGGGAGCTGGGGTACTTGTTGTTGTGCTGGTGATCGGTGCCATGGTAGTCGTTGTGGTTATTGGGGGTTCAGGAGCTGTTGTACTAGTCGTTGAGGGTGTCTCCCTCTCTGTTGTTGCGCTCGTTGACGACTCTGTACTGGGTATATCCGAAATGGGTGGTGTCATCATTTCCTCATCACTCAACACGGTAATAATTAAAGGAGTAGCTGTCACTATGCTGTCTTCTTTTTCCCTCAATGCCTCCCTAGGTATGGACTCCACAATGGGTTCGACCTTCTTCACCACCGATATTTCAGTTACAATTTCCGCTTTCGGTTTCAATGACTGCACCTTTAGCGGTTTCTCTGTAACAATTCTCAATGTGGTTGTTTTCACCTCAGTGGGTGCCTCAGGTGTGGTGCCCCTATGCAGGGTGGTATAACGCCTATTGAAACTAACACCACCTCGTGGATTATACTTAAACCTTGCCCGACTCCTCTCCACAGCCGATAGGGTTGAGGTAACAGTTACAGGTGTCGTTGAGGAGGGTATTTCCTCGGCCACCGATACTTCCAGCAGCTTCGGATGTTCATCACTAACCGAGGTAATGGTCAGGGCATTTGGTTTAAGGGGTGGTAGTTTTTGGCCAAAATACAAATACGGTTGTATTTCGTCATCTTCTATGGACGTTGTGGCCACAGTAACCATGGTGCCGGGTTTACGTCTTCCCCTCAATTTGCTGGCTGCCCCAATACCCTTGACCTCATCGGTTATGTGATTTGCTGTGTCATTCTGCTCTTTGGCTATCACCAAGAGGCCATGCGAAGACTCATCGGTAAACAATATTTCATTGGTATCCTTTTCGCCAGCTTGTGCCGTTCCAGTGCCCTTTTTCGATGAATTCTTCACCATCACCACACTTTCCGCGCCACCACCTATACCACCAATGATGGTGGGTCCATTGCGGGAGAAATTTGCACATTGTCGCATACAACTTGCTGTCGTTCGTCGGGTGAAATTTTTCGTACAATTTCGTATACATATTGACCTTGGATCGGTGGGTGATTTCGAGGTGGTCTCAACAGCTGTCGCTGTACGCCCCGTGGTGCCAATGCGATTGCGAAAACCTGGCCGGTGTAGAGCATTGCGACGCGCCGCCAAAACATCCATTAGACGACGTTCTCTCTCCTGAGCGGCAGTAAGTTGGGGACTGACAGAGGGACGGGTGGGACGATAGGTTGTGGGTGAAACACTCGAGTGTTCGTAGCCATCTGCAATGAGAAGTGATAGAAGGAGGATGAAATTAGTATAAGATCGTCATAAAATAAATATTTTGTGAAATCTTGACATTTGGTATAAAAATTATGTTTGGGACGTAGTGTTTTTGGAAGTGTGTACTAAGTGTAACAACCCTAATAAATGGTACTAAATTCACTACAATTTGGTTTTGGTTCACCGGGTTGATCTGGAGATTTAAAATATTGGTAATGGGGTCACTGCTGCTTAAAATCTGAAATTTGGCACTAGAATCACTGTTATTGTGTAAGTTTGATATTTGGAGTTGGTTTTGGAAATACGTACTAAAAAGTACTAAATGGTACTAAATTTGGTATTTGGGTAAAGAAACGAGTTGGAAATCGGAAATTTGGAGTGAGAGCCTTTGATGTTGTGTAGTATCGACAAAATAAAATATTTTTCAAAATTCTAACAATAAGTGCACCAAAAATACAAGAATGCACTAAATTTGGTACCATTTGGGATTATAAAATCTTAAAATTTGGTAAAAGAATCAATTTTTGGAAATTGGTGTAAGGATATGGTTTTGGCTTTAGTCTAAGGACTGCACTTAATGGTACCAAATTCGGTACAATATGGTTTTGGGTGAACGGAAGAACCTGGTAAGTTGAAATGTTGGTATTGAAGTCAATGCTGGTGGGTAGGGTTAAAACAAAGAGTTGGGGTTGCAAATTCGTATAGGAAGAATACAAAAGGTACTAAATTATGCTTAAATATGCTAAATACTGCTTGAAATCTGAAATTTTGATTTTTTATGTCCAGGCTCCAATAAAAAATCAAAATTTTAGATTTCAAGCAGTATTTAGCATTTTTAAGCATAACTCAGTACCTTTTGTATTCTTCCTGTACGAATTTGCAACCCCAACTCTTTGTTTAAGGGATAGGGCTGGAATCCTCACATAATATATTTAAGTCTCTGTTGGTATCAGAAATTGAGATATGAAACGGTTTCGCAAATAAGTACTATATGAAAAGTACTAAATGGTACTAAAGTTTGTATTGATCGAAGGGATAAAGATAAAATTCTAAAATTTGTTATTTAGACAACAGTAGGGGTCTGTGATTGAGAATTAGAGGTGGTTTAGAAATGCGTCCACTATTTGTACAAAAAGTACTAAATGGTACTAAATTTGGTATTAAGTTAACGGATAGGTCACCAATCCTTAGATTTTATATTGAGGTATCTGTTAGAATTTAGAATTGAAATATGGAGGTGGCTTTGGAAGTGTGTACTAGAATTGTACGAAAAGTACCAAATAGTACAAAATTTTGTATTATAGAGATAAAATTTTGGTATTAACAGATATAAAATTCTGTAGTTAAGTACTTAGATTACTAATTGTATCTGTGTTAGAGACTTGTTGGCTGATTGGAAATACGTCCTATATTTGTACCAAAAATATTAAATAGTACAGAATTTGCTATTGGGTGAAGGAATAGAGATGAAATCCTCAATTTTGATATAGATGTCACTGTTGGTGTCTGTGATTAAGAAATGGAGGTGGTTTTGGAAATGCGACTCATAATTGTTCAAAAAATACTAAGTGGATATTGAATGAAGTGATCGAGGTGGAATCCCGAAATTTGATATAGATGCCACTGTTGGTATAAAAAGAGCTGGAATCCTGAAAATTGGAGGGATCGAGTTCATATTTGATATTGAGGTCACTCTTGGTTTCTAGGGTATGTATATGGAGACATTGAGATAATTTTGGACAGAAAAATTGGATGTGAACTTTGAATACCCTCCACCATTTGGAACGAATTTGGTAATTTTCACAAAAATAAAATCCGCTAAAAATTCTGTTCAAATCTTAAAAATACCGAAGGTTGTCATTATATTAGGGTTTCTACGACGTGGACCTGCATAGGCAACTTTTCTCATAAGCCATTACAATATTCAAATGCGAAACTTGGAAAAAATCGGTGAATAATTTAGCTAAATTCATCAACATACCGGCTATAGTGAAGTACCATTATATGGGGCTATACCAAAACGTGGGTCTGCATAGACAATTTTCTGTTATAGGCTGTAGTATTCATTGTGAATTTAAATACCAAATTTGAAACTATTCCAGTGAATAATGGTGCTAAAATCATAAAAATACCGAATATCGGGAGGTGCCGTTATATGGGGGCTATACGAAGGCGTGGACCGGCACGGACAATTTTCTATCATAGGCTGCATGAACTTCAAATATAAAATTGAAACGCTAAATCGATATAGAATTTTATGCTGATCAAGAATTGTGGGGTCTAAAATGTATATTTCTAAGTGTTACAAACGGAATGGCAAACTTAATATATCCTCCATACTATGGTGGAGGGTATAAAAGGACTAACACGAACTGTTGGAACGTTTATAAAATTTTTGAGGTTGTTTTCACTTTCGAAGTAGCTGGCACTTGCTAGTAATAAATAATTTTACCAAATATAAGAGCATAGCTCCGAAGTACCGCCAAAATATTAAAAAAATATATGAATTGTAACTCTTAATAATCTGCACTTATAGCTGAAATAATATTATTGAAAAATCCCTTAAAAAAATATTTTTAAAAAAATATCAACTAAAAATCCTAGACCCTAGAAAATATCCCTTTAAATCCTCAATTATAGCTCAGATAGTCCCTCCAGAAATATTATATCTCTGATGGGATCTGAAAAAAATAATAATTATATCTCCTATAGTTCTAAATGAAAAACCCATCCGATTATTGGTCTTATAATCGCTGAAAATATCTTCACTAAAATCGTCAATTATATCTGTAATAATCCATGAAAAAATATTCTTAAACAATCCTCAATTATAGCTGTAATATTACCAAAAAATAATTCTCTACAAACCCACGTTTATAATATCTTTCAAAAACTAATTTTATAGCTCAAATTGTTACTGCAAAATATTTAAAAAATCCAGGAGTATATTATAATTTTGATAAAAAAAAACATATTTTAAAACCAAAATTTACAATATATCCACTAATTATAATTTAATGTCGTTTGAATTATATAATTTTAAATAATATCAAAATTATGTGATCAAAATTTCGAAAATATGTAAAAAATTATTTTAAAACTAAAAACAATTTTTAGCGAAGTCCTTAAAATTATATATAAAAATCCGTAGGCATATTTTTAAAAATCACTAATTAAAATTCTGATAATCCATTAAAGAAATATCTTTTAAAAATCTACGCATAATATCCTTGATTATAAATTTAATAGTTTCTATCGAAATCTACTAAACAATGTTCACAAGCCTTAAAATTGCATTTGTCAACTATTTTCTCACAGCGATTTTTCGTTTGGAAACAGTGTAATCAATAATTCCCGCAAAATTACCGTTGCCTCCTTGTATGCGTACATTCCACTGCCGCGAGAACTCATCGACATAATTGAGTGTTGTTACTCTTTGACGTTACATTTTTATGGCAATTTCGATCTAAACAATTAAATTACCAGTCTTTCAAATCATCTAAGCCATTGTGACCTATAGCCTAAGGATGTGGCGCATTAATGACATGGTCACCACACACACACACACATACAGTTGAATATAAAATCGATTGGAGTTCACGCACTTGTTTCTATAACAAATCTGGCAGAGAATCATTTCATTAATCATTATTAGCTTTTAATTTGTAAGCATTTACCTTAAAGCCAAGTGGGGCTAATTCTGCTTGTAATGTGAGCCGTTCATGCTCAATATGAAATATGTATTGAAAGTCTATTCATAGGCCATTTAAACTGCCTTCAAATCGCTGTTCATTCAATGGTATTTGTCTCTCGCTAGCATCACATTCGTAGCGGGTTTGGGTATCATTTTACGGTTAGGAGGAAAATCATTTCATTATCCACATCATTATTCAATTACGTGTAAGCGATCGATTCAATAAGGCGAATAAAATCTAGTTTTGTTAGAAATACCCAAAAGAAACCTTACAAGTTTATTTACCGCTGCGTTGGATGGGTGGGGGAGGTTGTTTGATATTTAATTGCAATAGTTAAAAAAAATATTCAAGAGAAGAAAATATTTGAAAATTTCGACCCTATTATAAAGATTGATCTTCCATAAATATTATTAATTTATCAACCTGGATATGGTTCTGATGACTCTTAATTACCAAAAAACACACTGTTAAACAAAATTCAATTTTTTCAAAAATTACAGTGAAAAAAGACACGTATATCGCGTAAAAGGGTACCAAGAGTGCTAAAATGCGTCATATATTTGTACGAAAAGTACTAAATGGTACTAAATTTGGTATTGGATGGGGGGGGGGATTCCTCAAACTTGATATTGAGTCTCTGTTGGTATCTAAGATTAAGATTTGGTGATGGATTTGCAAAATGTGTACTATAATTGTAAATTTGGTAATGGGAGGACCTTGTTTTGGAAATGAGTACGATAATTAATCGAAAAGTACTGAAATCCTGAAATTTGATATCGATGTTACTGTTGTTGGTGTGGCTGAAAGAAAGAGCGGGTTTTGCATGTGCGTACTACAATTGTACTAAATGCTACTAACTTTGGTAGTGGACTGAAATCCTGAAATTTGATATTAAGGTGTTCTATAATTGTTCAAAAAGTTCTAAATAGTTCTAGATATTGTACCGAGTGAAGGAATAGAACTGAAATATGATGTGAATGTCACTGTTGGTGTCTGTGGTTGAGAAATGGTAGTGGATTTAGGAATGTGTACTAAGATTGTTCGAAAAGTACTAAAGGTTACTAAATTTGATATTGGGTGAAGGGATAGAAATAAAACCCTGAAATTTGATATTGAGGTCACTACTGGTTTCTAAGGTTTACATACGGAGACGTTGAAATAGTTTTGGCCAGAAAAAATGGATGAGGGTCCATTGTGCAATGGCTGTGGGTAAGAAATATAACGTATCGGTTAACCAATATATATGGGAGCCATAGCTATATGTGAACAGATCTTCACCAAATTTGACATACTAGCTTCTAGAC